AAAAAGAAAAAGTATTGCACATAGAGGCATTCACTAAATATGTGCTAAGTTAGACAATACAAACGAAGTTTAAAAAAAAACATACAGTGGGAGAAGATATTTACAACTCATACAACTAGCAAAATATTAGTTTCCAGAAAAACATTAAACTTCAATATATCAGTAAGAAAAACTACACCCCCAAAATGGCCATGAACTGGCAATTCACAGAATGAACTTTAATGGATAAAAAATAAGAGGGAAAAAATGTTTGACCTCACTAGTAATAAGTGAAATGCAAATAATGAGAAACAATTTCATACCAACGTGGGTTGACAAAATTTTTTTTTTTTCTTTCTTTGAGACGGAGTTTTGCTCTTGTTGCCCAGGCTGGAGTGCAATGGCATGTTCTTGGCTCACCACAACCTCCATCTCCTGGGTTCAGGTGATACTCCTGCCTCAGCCTCCCGGGTAGCTGGGATTACAGGCACGCGCCACCATGCCCGGCTAATTTTTGTATTTTTAGTAGAGACGGGGTTTCTCCATGTTGGTCCGGCTGGTCTTGAACTCCTGACCTCAGGTGATCCATCCGCCTCAGCTTCCCAAAGTGCTAGGATTACAGGTGTGAGCCACCGCACCCGGCCGACAAGAATGTTAAAAATGTGACAGTATCAGGTGTTGGTGAGATGTGGTGAGATGAAAATTATCATTATTCCCTCATTATACTTTAGAAAGCAATTTGATAATATCCAGTAAGGTTGACTACTGTAGACCTAACAATTTCATTACTAGGTGCATGCCTCTGGGAAACCTGCATACACTATAAGGAGATAATATACAAGGATGTTCATTACAGCACTATTCACATTAGCAAGAAATTCGAAATGATATTTCTATACAGAGAAAAATGACAAATTATGATACATTCTTAATTTTATATAACAGTCAAAATGAATGACTTAGATACTCAAGTATAAACATGAATATCTAATATATCATTTACCTGAAAAAATCAATACGCAGAATGCTACTTATATAGTACAATAGCCTTAATAAAGTTTAAGAACCACACAAAACATGTATTTCTGAAATACGGTCTATAATAAAAGCATGATATAAAAATGTAGATAGAAACATCTCACACCCAGGATAGTGGTTGATATTGGTTACCTTTTAGGAGAGAGGAAGGAAATGGGTTATGGGGAGAAAACAAAATAACTACATCTATAACATTCTGTTTCTCAAAAGAATTAAAGCAAGGAAGGCCACTTAAGATGTATTAAATTTGGGTGGTAGGTACATGGATATTTTATTATTCTCTGTGATCTTTCATGAAAACTTCAAAACATAGTAAATGAATGCAATTTAAACAATTCTTAAGAGTCATGATGATGATGGTAAGTCTAGAATAATGAAAAATAGTAATGCAAAAACAAGCTCTACTGTTAACTGGCACACAAAAATATATGGGAAAAGTGCTTATAGAAAAACCAAGAAGACATTTAAATAATCCACACAATTCAAAATTATAATCCATGTAATCCATCAGCAGTAAGATTGGAATTGTATTCGATAATATTATGTATTTACAGATGTGGAAAACATTACATGTCAACCATGCACATGAGATCAAAACTATCCAAATTAAAAGCTGAGGAAGCTAGGGTCGGGCACGGTGGCTCATGCCTGAAATCCCAGCACTTTGTGAGGCCGAAGTAGGCAGATCACTTGAGGTCAGGTGTTTGAGACCAGCCTGCCAACATGGTGAACCCCAGCTCTACTAAAAATATAAAAATTAGCCGAGTGTGGTGGCGTGTGCCTGTAGTCCCAGCTACTCAGGATGCTGAGGCACAAGAATCACTTGAACTCGGGAGATGGAGGTTGCAGTGAGCTGAGACTGCCCCACTGCACTCCAGCCTGGGGGACACAGCGAGGCTCCGTCTCAAAAAACAAACAAACAAACAAACAAAACTGAGGAAGCAATTAATAAAGCAGAATGAACAGAATCTCAGAAACCAGGTCAAAATTTTTCCGAAAAGCAACTGCTGCTTTTGAGGGGGTAGTTACAATATTTATCTGAAAATAAAGAGCCCCTAGAAATTGTATCCAAATTATGTTCAAAATTTGACTATCATTGAAGTGAAAAAAGTTAAAAGAGCTCTGTGTATCAAGAAGATCAAGACTGTGTATCTGTGTATCTATATATTTGGAAAATAGTTTTAATAAGTCACAAAAATATTGATATCAAAATTTTGGTTTGGAACCAGAAGCATATTTCCAATGATGATAGTATGTTTTCCATCGTAGGTTACACAAAATAATCTGAGAATGAATATGGAGAGCTTACGTCAAACTGAGTCCATGTGCATCCGGTTTTCTCAACTAACAGAGGAAGCAAATAGCAGACATCATTCAAAACTACAACAGACTAGTTATCTATAATGAAATCCAAGCACGGTAAATATTATTTGATGAAATAACGAATCTATTAGTTAGTCCATTCCTAAGTTGACCTGACATAATGGAGGAGTTATTTATTCAATAGAAACCAGGTGAATGGAAAATATTTTTTTCTATTTGCTATATAAGCCTGAGTGCTAATGCCTTGGGAACCCATCCATATGGACATTAAGGTTCCTTTGTTTGTGATTTTACCTGAAAAGGCTTTTCTTCTTGCTCTATTTTATTCTGAGTCAGCTCTCAAGGTCTTTCAGGTATTAAAGCACAAAGAAACTTTATAGATTTTATCATGAAAAAACTGTTATACAGTAGTATGGAAAAAATCAATAACATCAGAATAAGGTACTCATAAACATTTCTATCAACTCATCAATTCCTGCTATGAGCAAGGATTTCTTCTAATTTTCAATAACATCATAAACAATCATGTTGAAGACATATATACTGGTAGAGATTTTCATCAGTCACATTTTGGACAAATATATTTGTAAGCAGATCTTTTTATTACAAACAAGTACAGATGCTCTCTGGCTTGCAATGGGGTTACGTCCTGATAAACTCATCCTGTCAAAAATATCATAAATGTAAAATGCAATTAATACCCCGATAAACCCATTGTAAAGTCAAACAATCACAAATCAAACCATCATAACTTGGAGACCATCTGTATAGTTTTCATTACATGAGATTTCCCATTTATCCCCTTTTCTCTTTAATTTTCTTCCCAACACTCCACCACCATAGAGAAATAGAGCAGTCCAGTGGCAGAGAAAAAGAACTATTCTGCCATTCATATCACAAAAGACTGATGTTAAGAAAATAATTCCTAAAAGCCAATGAAAGCAAATGACATCACAAGTCCTTTTGTGAAGCAATTAAGATATAAATAAAATAAATAACAATAAATAAAAACTAGTTGAGAAGCACAGTCCCTGCAGATACTACTCAGATGAGGCTTTCTGGAAGCATCACAGATTCAACCCAGAATTTATAATTCTAGAGGTCCAGCGACTATACAGAGGGAAGTGTTAAATCTGAATCAAGTAATTGGGCAGTCAAGATGCCTAATGAACTCGGTGTCTAGATAATACGTAACAAGAACGATTCTAGGTGCATAGGAAAGAAAATAATTCATTACACCGTAACACTAAATGGCTTGCTTGTCTTGCAGAACCCTGGTTGAGAAAGGTTGCTCTAGAAGTGTTTGTTCATATATATGTCGAAACAATTAACCAGTGATGTGGCAACCAGATGACTGCTAACTACAAATCCATCATTTGGATATGTAGTGGAAACAACTGCGTGGATTTCTGAAAACTTTTATTTCACAGACTTTTATTTTTGTCAGTTCTTTAAATCCTCTGCTCAGAGCACCATTGAGAATGACTAGAATGCAAAGCTTTTACAGCCCACCTGAAAACAGTATGAAATAAGTGAAGGGAAAAAGAAACCGATTTTAAGTTTTAATTACAAATTCTTGTCTAAGTATTGATTTTACAGAACAGTAAATGAGATGTAAATGATTGAGAAATTGTAAGTTATATAACAATGACTCTGAAAAAGGTGAGCTTCCGCCATAGATACCTGAGTACCTGATGCTACCACAGACTTACTCCTTTTAAGCACCAATTATTTTCTCCCATCTATGCCAGCTGTTGTTATTAGGAATCAAAATTATTTCTTGCACCAGGTAAAGTCTCAAGCAGGAGAGGAGATTGGAAGTCAAAGACAACATTAAGTTAGCTTTCACAAACTTGTTCCCAACATTGTCTTGAGGCTTTTCAGGGCCAGCCTGGTCTGAAAGCAAAACTCTACAGTGGTTGCACTCTGGGGTGAAGACATTGGCCCGTCTCTGCTCCTGCACCACGTCAGGGTACCTGGCTGCTGTACCAGCACCCTGCCTCACCTGACAAATTAATGTGCCAAATTAATGCTCTCTGTAACCAGAAACAGACATTCTCTATTGCCTTTTTGTTTGTTTATATATTTGGGACGGAGTCTCGCTCTGTCGCCCAGGCTGGAGTGCAGTAGTGCGATCTCGGCTCACTGCAAGCTCCGCCTCCCGGGTTCAAGCAATTCTCCTGCCTCAGTCTCCTGAGTAGCTGGGATTACAGGCGCCCGCCACCATGCCTGGCTAATTTTTTGTATTTTTACTAGAGACGGGGTTTCACCCTGTTAGCCAGGCCGGTCTCGAACTCCTGACCTTGTGATCTGCCTGTCTCGGCTTCCCAAAGTGCTGGGATTACAGGCATGACCCACCGTGCCCCGCCCCTGGCATTTTTAAAAACTAGTTTTTGGATCACTTAAAATATGTCAAATTTAGTGGAAAATTGAAAAAGATCTTTTTCCTCTTCCTTACAGAGTTCTTCAATTTGCCCTAAACCCTTTTTAAGCGCTTCCAGTAGTAACCATCAGGCGGGCAGACCACAGATCCCTTTATTACATTAACAAATAAACTGGTAATTCCAGTGAGAGAGTTAACAAATTCTCAAGAGCTACCTCAGGAATTTTAATGTCACACTGTGGAGAGTATAAAATATTTTCATATGGTAGCTCAAATATGCAGTAGGATAACATTTTTAATGTGTTAATAAGATGTGATAAAAACATAAGTCTACAATGAACATATGTGAAAAAGATATTTAATTGCAAAATAGAAAAGTAGGCCAGAGTACAGTTTTAAGGGTAATTGCTTTTTTATACAGTATAGATAACCTAGAGGGATGTTAGGGTTAAACAGTTCATAAAGCAATAAAACATTGAAAAATAAAGCAAGAAAAAGGGGTTTGAAGTAATGTTTTACCAAAAAAAAAAAAAAGAAAAAGTGAACAGTCTGCCAGTGTTTAATGTCCATACATTGTGGAATTCAACAATACTGTGATGAGGGCAAGTCACAGCACAGACACTGAGCTTTCAAAGGGAAGAGTAGAAGTTACATTAGACATGTCTATTGCATCACTGTAGTACAAAAAGTTCCTGTTCTACATACAAAAGCAATTTTTTTCCATAAGAATAATTTCCTGGGGAGAAATAAGTCCATAAAATATTTCAGAAACCCATATACATTGAGTTTTCCAAAAACATTATCTTAAAATCCAGTGCCTTAAAGTGCTTTCATGTGGAAATCATGATGGAAGGCACAGAATACAGTTTCACGTCCCCACTATTAAATTTTCGAAAAAGCACAGATTTTGCAGAATTGGCAAATTCAAGTTATCTTGTAGGCTGCTCCTTCCGAGAACATTGTCATTCCAATAAAACCAGCTGCTAGCTTACTTAGTTTCAATGACCTATAGAGTAAAGGGGTTTTGCTTTTTTTTTTCCTGGTCACTTTCATCATTTCTGTGGGAGAAATACCTATGTAAGTGATGCATTTTGAAATTATAAAACATGCAGAATATGTACAAACAGAAATTTTAAAAAATATTTGCTTCATATACATGTAAATCTACTTGGGTATAGCTGAAATTGAACAAATATAAAAATTTTGCTTTCTAAAAAATGTTTTCAGAGAATCTGACACAACTTAAAGCTGTACAAAGATTTCCTGGGAGAAATCTTCTCTCTGTATAGAGGTTTATACCTATAGGAGTAATTCCAGCATCAGTCCACCATAATTATTACACAACATTTGCTCTAACCAGCAACGATCACCCTTAAAACTGTTCTGTTTCTGAGAAATTAAGGTTTGTACTAAAATCAAAAAGAATTCACAAAAACAGTGGCTTATTGTGGTTTTGGATCTCTTCAACAATCTTTATCAACTCATTTGGAACTGTAAAAAAAAAAAACAAAAACTATTTACAGAATTCAGTTTTAAATACATTTCACAACTTCTAAAGTAAAGTTTTATGTTACAAGAATTCAGAGCTCATGGCTTAAGTCCAATTATCAATCTGTAGTCTCTTCTATCATTCTGTATTCCCATGGCTGTACCTTTGTTGTGTACAGTTCAAGACTGTATTCTTTCTTGACCAAAAGTAAAATCAAACTACATGTTCGTTTCAATTAAACAGCTTCTTTATTAGTCTGAAGACGAGTCATAGCTTCCAACTTCTGTCTGTAGGCCTCTGCTTCCTGTTCTTTCTTTAGGAGCTGCTGTCGATATTTTTGTGCTTCTCGATTTGCTTCATCCAGCTGTTTCTGAAGAGCTTCTCTCTCCTAATTAAAAGAATAGGTTTTTTTTAATTTTGGCAAAAATGCATTTTTAATACATATAGGCATGCATCCTTCAAATTTAAAAAAAAAAAAAAAAAACTGTAGTAGCTAAAAGTAGCCACCTACTGAAATTTCCTAGACATCTTGCCTTCTCAATCAATTCACTAATATTTAAGTCCCTAATTTTGTGCTCCACATTATGAGATATGGATCAGTTTCCGACCGCAAGGAAATTATTTTCCTATTTAGAAATAAGACTAACAGAAAGACTCCAAACTGGGCACCTGTACTTTTATACGTACTACAAAAACAAAGAGTTTTTAAGAGGGAAATACACAACCACACCTCTTTATATTTCCATTTGTTGTGCTCTAAAGGTAATAATTATAAAACAATTTTACTGAGCACCCACTATATGAGTAAACAGGGTGATTTCCAACAATAAGCTTCTGAGACAGATATTATGCACAAGTTACAGATGAGAAAAATGATGCTCAGGGATGATGTAGCTCTCCCAAGGTCACATACTAAGGAGTTAGATTTATAGGGTTCTAACATTACTGCTTTTAAAACTATTTTTCATTTACAATAGCAAGCAAGATAATTCACCTTTAAAATGAAGAGTGCTGATCAAGATCAGTATTTCCTAAATTATACTGTTTCATAAACCAATAAAATACGAAATTATCAATGATTAAATTATATAGGTATAAAATGTATGTATTAAACTCCTCAGCAAACTGAGAGCTGAAACACAAATCCAATCCAATGAAAACGGTATTCTTTCTCCTCTTCCTCCTCACTCTGCCCCTATTCAGTTATTGCAGGAAAAACAAGGAGAAACATTTCAACGAACCCATTCCCACACCTCTAAGCAAGCACAAGGACAAAAGCTCAGCCTCCACAGACCAAAGCCCAAGGTTAGTTTCCATGGTCTTAGGAATGAAGCAACCTCATCACAGATGCCCAGGACCTCTGAGTAGGGTGAAGGCCAGGGTTCGGACTGTCACAAGAATGATGGGTCCGCAGTGGACAAGATAATTGGTCAGAGGGAACTAAAGGTAAGTGGTTGGCCGACTGCTGGGGAGGCACAGTATGAGGTTCTCTTTCTCTATATCCTATTCTGTGTATCCTCTGCCTCCTTGACTCTTGTCCATTGCCAACACCAAAGGATTCCTCACCTTCACTATTCACACGGTTGCTCCACAAGCAGGAGCATGTATAATCCCCCTGCCTTTCTGTGATTCCACTTCCTTCCCCACAATGGGAATGAAGCGAGATCCAACATTTCTTTTTCTCATGGGCCCACCAGATGTGGGAGTGATTCATTTGGAATCCAATTACACAAAATGTACAAGTAGAAGAAAGGAATGCCCCTTACCCCCAGTTTAAGCAATGCCCAGGCCCTATCCTGCTGCCTCCCAACACTTCTTCTCCCCTCCTCTTATCCTAACTCCAGCCAAGATAGGAACAAGTCAGAAAAGACACTCTGGGATGAGTCCAAGGTAAGCAATCAATGCCAGTACCCTGGCTACGGACTGCAGGACTTTAAGGACACCAGTGGAAGGGGTGAGGGGTGGAAGGTTGGATGTTACTTCCCAGGAGCTAGACCACAGCTCTGGCAGGAGTGTCCACAGCCAGGCATGTGTTTTAAAATGTTACGTGTGGCCGGGCACAATGACTCACACCTGTAAAGCCAGCACGTTGAGAGGCCAAGGCAGGCGGACCACTTAAGCCCAGGAGTTCGAGACAAGCCTGGACAACATGGCAAAACCCCTACAAAAAAATACAAAATTTAGCCAGGCATGGTGGCATGCGCCTATCGTCCCAGCTGCTTGGGAAGCTGAGGCAGGAGAATCACTTTAGCCCAGGAGGTTGAGGTTGCAGTGAGCAACTCCACTGCACTCTGGCCTGGGTGACAGAGCAAGACCTTGTCTCAAAAAACAAGAAAAAAGAAAAAAACAAACACAAATTTACATGTATGTGAAAAATAAGACCAATCCTTTGGTAGCCAAAGTTTCGAACATGGGTAAAAATTTACCTTGATTTAGCAGGAAATATTGGAAGAGGTTAACTCTAAAGCATCTTCTAGTATTACCTATTTATTAACATGTAGAGTCAGGAAAGTATTCACAATTATTGCAGAAGATGAAAGCAAACCGAGTGAGGTAGTCTAACAGTGCAAAGAGCCCAACCCTATTTTCCATGTTGCATATTTTAACTTCAAGAAGTACAATTTATCTTGATAAAAATGAAAAGATAGCTCCCTTCTGCCTACTAGGTGAAATAAAAAACTCATTTTCACAGCATTTTTTGGCTAATTCTATAAAACCTAGAAGACAAAGATCATTAGCACTGCATGCTGAATACATTTAATCTTTAAGATTGAAAGTATAATTAACACTATACTTTTTTTTTTTTTTTTGAGACGGAGTCTCGCTCAGGCTGGAGTACAGTGGTATGATCTCGGCTCACTGCAACCTCCACCTCCCGGGTTCACACCATTCTCCTGCCTCAACCTCCCGAGTAGCTGGGACTACAGGCACCCGCCATCACGCCCGGCTAATTTTTTGTATTTTTAGTAGACACGGGGTTTCACCATGTTAGCCAGGATGGTCTCGATCTCCTGACCTCGTGATCCGCCTGCCTTGGCCTTCCAAAATACTGGGATTACAGGCATGAGCCACTGCGCCTGGCCTAAATGTTTTTTAAAAGAGATAAACTGGGCAGGATATGTGAGCTGTTTGCTTGTGTGTAAACGTCAATTTTCTAACTGCCCTGGGCCAAACATGACAACTATGATTTTGTTTTAATAAAGTTTTATTGAAATATATCCACACCCATCCATTTTCAAATTGTCTATGGCTGCTTTCACTACAATGGCAGAACTGAGTAGTTGACAAAGAGACTGTAGGGTCCACAGAGCCGAAAATATTTGGTACCTGGCCATTTATGAAAAAACTTTGCCTTCTCCAGCCTTAGAAAAAAGAGATATGGACTGGGTGCTGGGCATGCAGTGGCTCATGCCTGAAATCCTAGTACTTTCGAAGGCCAAGGCAGGAGGATTGCTTGAGCCTAGGAGTAAGAGACTAGCCTGGGCAACAGGGCAAAGCCTCATCTCGAACTCCTGACCTCAAGAGATCCTCGCACTTCAGTCTCCCACAGTGCTGGGATTACAGGCATGAACCACCATGCCTGGCCGCAAAACCTTATCTCTACAAAAAAATACAAAAATTGGCCAGGCATGGTGGTGTATGCCTGTAGTCCCAGCTACTCAAGAGGCTGTGAGGTGGGAGGATTGCTTGAGCCCAGGGAGGTCAAGGCTGCAGTGAGCTGTAAATGCACCACTGCACTCCAGCCTAGGCAACACAGTGAGACCCTGTCTCAAAAAATAAATAAAAACATACATAAAAACATTAATTTTAAAAAAGAGAGAGAAGAGATATGACCTGGATATGGTGACTTATGCCAGTAATCTCAGTAATCTCAGTTCTTCAGGAGGCTGAGGTGGGAGGATCACTTGAGGCCAGGAGTCCAAGACCAGCCTGGGCAACATAGCAAGACACCCTCTCTACAAAAAGAAAAAAAAGCCTAGCCAGGTATAGTGGTCCCAGCTACTTGGGAGGCTGAGGTGGGAAGCCTGCTTGAGCCCCAGAGTTTGAGGTTGCAGTAAGCCATGACTGCACCACTGCACTTCTGCCTGGGTGACAAAGCGAGACCCTGCCTTAAAAAAGAAAAAAGAAAAAAGAAAACCAGAGAGAGATGTGACTATAAACATTTTTAAATTGTGGCAGATCAGGAAAGATAGCCATTAAAAAAAAAAACAAAAACAAAAACAAAAAAAAACACAGATTGAAAAACTTTGCATCAAATAAAACATTTTATAAAGTTTACAGAAATCAGTTTTTTAGAGAGCACTAAGGATCTCAAATCTACTACCAGTTAAAGGACACAAATATTTCATTAAAAATAAAATTTACAGACATGAGCAGTGACTCGCGCCTATAATCCCAGCACTTTGGGAGGCTGAAGCAGGCATATCGCCTGAGGTCAGGAGTTCAAGATCAGTCTGGCCAACACAGTGAAACCCCATCTCTACCAAAAATACAAAAATTAGCCGGGCATGGTGGTATGCACCTGTAATCCCAGCTACTTAGGAGACTGAGGCAGGAGAATCGCTTGAACCTGGGAGGCGGAGGTTGCAGTGAGCCGAGATCGCAGCACTGCACTCCAGCCTGGGCAACAGAGTGAGACTCTTTCTTAAAAAATTAAATAAAATAAAATTTACTAATAAACGTATTTATCTTTAACCTCCATGGGAAAGAAAATGTAAAGGTATTTCCTGAAGTCACACAATAAACTAATAGACAAAATCTGTTACTCCTAATACACTAAATATATTTTTTACACATGTACAAAGATTAATTTCAATTCAGAATAGTCTAACGTTTATTTTTGGAAATCTGTAAATAACACTCTTCCGGAAAATATATTCAATGCAGTAATAAATGGAAGATAAAATTATATACATTATTGCAATTTGGTGTCTTATTCACACCTTTCTCTCCAAAAAACAAACCTATTTTATTTCCTATATTGCTATATGCAGATGTAAAGCCCACAAAATGTACAATACACTTTCTACAGTTTAAAGTAATTTTTCCAGAGACTCTTGGAAAACCTCTCCATTGTTAGTTGGGAAATTGTAAACATAAATTCTTAGCACCTTATTGTATTATTATTTTTTCTTTTGTCTCACTCTGTCATCCAGGCTAGAGTGCAATGGCGTAATCTTGGCTCACTGCAACCTCCGTCTCCCAGGTTCAAGCGACTGTCTCGCCTCAGCCTCCCGAGTAGCTGGGACTACAGGCGTGTGTCACCACACCCGGGTAATTTTGGATTTTTTAATAGAGGTGGGGTTTTGCCATGTTGGCCAGGCTGGTCTCGAACTCCTGACCTCAGGTGATCCACCCACCTTGGCCTCCCAAAGTGCTGGGATTACAAGCGTGAGCCACTGCCCCTGGCCAATTCTTAGCACCTTCTTTATGGAGAGTCACTCTGGGCATTGCAGTCACAGATACATGGAGAAAACCCAAACATTAGATTTTGTATAGAGTTAATTTTTAAATTTCTTTAAGTTTCTCAATCTCAGCATCATTGATATTTTTGGGCCACACAATTCTTTATTGTGGGAGGCTATCTTGTGCATTGTAGGATGTCTACCCAGCCTCTATCCATTACATGTCAGTGGAATGCCACTAGTCATGACAACCAAATATGTCTTCTGACGCTGCTTTAGAGACACTTTTTCAGTTAATGGCCAAGCTGTCCCTCAGGAGTATAAAAGTCTCCCCCCAAGATAACCCCATTGGCCACCTACGAAAATAAATTCAAAATAACAACTTCACGTATTATAAGGAAATGATTACCTGGTTTGGTGAAAACATTGGAGGTCATCTCTTCATTCTATATCTCCAGCCTACCACTACCTGTATACTCACTGTATGCTTCCAGGTTTCTCTGAAATAGCCCTAAGAGGTCAGGCAAGCTTGGCTTGAACATTTCCAGTGATGGAGAACAAGATTTCCATTACCAGAAAGCTCTCTTTACTAAAATCAAAACAAAGCAAGCAAACGAAAACCACTGTTCTTCACACCAAGCTGAAACTGAATCTCCCTAAAGCTCCATCTCCTGGGCCCTAGTTATTTTATACACCTCTCAATTCATACTTCCCTGTTATTTGCAGTTATTTTCCCTGGTCTCTCAAAGACTGTAAGAAAGAAATCAGGCTAAACTTTGAGGGAAACAGCAATGCTCCCTGGTCATTAGGTAAATAAAGGTACAGGCTGCACATTCATTGTTTAAAAATATAATCTGTTGAATTAAATAAGCTTACATTTAATAAAAAATTCAAGTAATTTTAAAATAATACTTTATTAAAGAGTTAAAGCGAAGTACATTTTTTTACCTTATGTGTCTGAAAAAGATCATCTGACATATCAGAAAAACAACAAAAAGTATTAAATAATAAGTATACTGATACCGTTCAATGGAAAAATTGTTAGTTTGTGAATAAAAACTTCAACATCCTACACATCACTTTAAATCCTGAAGAAATAAAACGACCCAACATCAATATTTAAAGTCATAATTTTACCAAATATTCTGGTTAAACCATTAATCAGATTCTTTTAAACTCAATAATATATTTGTGGTGTGGCCAAAGATGTACCAGTCTTATATTTACATGAATTTAGAAAGGGTATTTTCTCATTGTCTTTAGTTTGACTTATGTTACCTTTTAGTGGCTTATTTTAAAAATCTCCTTTCTATAACAAGAACCTTTACAAAAAATTACTAAATATTCACCAAATTTACTACAAACACATATCAGATATAAATATTGTATGACTATGCTGACTTTTTCAATTCTCATAAAAACCCAAAAATGGAGACATTATTATTCTAAATTCCAGTTTGGAACACAATAAAACTGCAACTCAGAAAGATAAGATTCCTTGCCTCAATGCTAACAGAACAAGAGGTGGGATTCAAACTCAACTCATCTGATTTCAAGTTCAGTGGTTGCAGTTGTTCTTTCAAAGTTATTCAAGAATAACCTTGTTTTCATTTGATATGATTTATTATCAAGTTCATGGAGCAAAATTTTATTTACAGTCAGTCAAGAAAAAAACCTGTGAAGCAACTATGGTTTGGTTACACCTACAAACTGGTTTACACTTACAAATTACTCCGGGGGAGGGGAAAAAATGTTGAATCCTATGAACAGCTAGTCTAAATTCATTTACTTTCCTTGAAAGAAGCAATTATCTACTGCTTTTAAAAAATAACCCATTTGACAAACATCGACCTTCTTTAAGAGGACCCCCTAGCCCAATTAGGTATTTTAGCTTCAGTTTTGAATGAAAAAAAAAAATTTAGCCAATATATACTGGTATTTTCCTTAGTGACTTGTAAGAATGGTGTGTGTAAGTTTAAAATATAAAGGATGAAGTGCAAGAACCAAAGACATTCCAGTGTTGTCAAGATGACAGACCATTATAAAACAAATTCTTCACTCACTCATTCATTCAATATTTATTTATTGAGGGCTTGCTATATGTATAAGGCAAAAATAAACAAAATGAAAATACTACGCACTTTCATTCTGTATCAAAACAATACTGTCAGTAATAAATATAAAAGACAAAAAAAATTGAATTTATTTTGGATGACTGCGGCAAAGCACACCGGGTAAAAGACTCCTTACTTCTATTTCTGCAGATTCCACCCGGTTTTCAATTATTTCGATACATTGTCTCTTAGCTGGTGGTTCTTCACTTATAACAGTTTCTTCAGCAATGTCTGTTGCTGGTACTGTTAATACTAAAATGAAAAAAAAATTATGTATTACTTCATTTTCAGAGATTTATTAGAAATAAAACTAGTCTTGACACTGTTGATGCTACTCATCTAAAATAAGTACATTCCAAAACAATAATTCCAAATCATCGATCTGCTTTTTATGAGACTATCCATATATGTCTTTTTTATTACCTTCTTGCTTTTTTACTGTACCTACATATATTTTTTAAATTATATAGATAATATATTCATTCATGACTCAAACATCAAAATATTTTACAAGCATATTTTGAGAGGCTTCATGCCCACCCCGATAACAGATAATCATTTTATTAATTTATTATGTATTATCCTTATATTAATTTGTTTAAAAATTAGTATACATTCTCATTTTCCTTTCTTACGTAAAAGGTAGCATATATACAACAGATACATTGTTCTGCATCTGCTTTTTTCACTCCAGATACTTACAGTATCTTACATCATTACATAGAGAGCTTCTGTTTATTTAGCTTCTTAATATCCACTAAGTGGATATTCCATTATGAGCACTGAGAGTTCATAAACATTGTTTGTTTTTGTATTGGACTGTTGGGCTTTTTCTCAGTTTTTAGTAGCTCTTTATTTAAATGTAATTATATAGAGAGGTTGTCCTTGCTTTGCACAGCAGTACAGGAACATAAAAACGACTGTGCAAGCTGAAATCACGTGAAGCCATCCTAATAATCACAATAGGGAAAATTACAATTGTTCCATGGCCTTTAAAATTTTTTGCCAAAACATGAAAAACCCTCTTAGTGACAGCTATAAATGTAAATAAAAATTTTAAAATAGTAAAACTAATATTTATTTAGTACAATGTAATTTAAAACATTAGAGATATTGAGAATTCGAGTTTTCTTTTTTATTCAAGACACTTATAAATTAACTTGGAAAAAAATGAGAATTTATATCTATTAGACTGTACAGTCTATATAATTCACATGTTAACTATATATTTTTTATTCAGGAAGGCTTTAAAAGTTTATTTTTTAAAAATATTCAGTAGAACTCTCTCATTGCTATTCTTTTCCAGAGTTTTCCTTATTCTTCTTCCCTCTGCCCCATCAACATAAACTTTAGAATCAATTTGGCTAATTACAGAAAAAAACATGATCTTTGTTATGGGCTGAATGGTACTCCCACTCCCCAAATTCACATGTTTAAGTCCTAACCCCCAGTACCTCAGAGTGTGACTCTATTTGGAGACAGGGTCCTTAAACAGATAATTCAGGTAAAATGAGATGGGCCCTAATCCAGTATTACCGGTGTCCTTACAGGAAGAGGAGATTAGGACACAGATAACACAAACAAACTGAGGTAGACCATGTGAGGACAGGCCAGAAGATGGCCATCTGCAAATCAAGGAGAGCAGCCTCAAAAGAAACCAAACCTGCCCCAAGACCTTGACCTTGCACTTCTAGCCTTCAGAGCTGTGAGAAATCATTAGTTTGCATAATGATACAGGTTTTGGAAACAATGTTACGTCTGCTTGATACAAATATTTTTAAAGCTTTCTTCTTTTCTAAAAATTAGAATTAGTTCTTTAACGCTTTGTGAAAGCATCTGACCCTAATCCAATTTCAGACCAGCTATCAGCAGAAGATTTCAGCAGAGTGGGACAGAATGGCCTCCCAGGCTTCACAGGCCAAGTGTTCCCTCTTCTACTGTTACAGCAACAAGCTCCTCTCTCCAAATCTGGTCTCTGTTCAGTGTCATGCCTCCTCTGCCACTCAAAACCAAACCTGGTTTAGGTGAAGTTCTACCTCTAGCCCTGCCCTTCACTGGCCATGAAAGGCACACGCTCTACAATCCTACTCATTTTCTTTTCTTCTTTATTTTCTTGGAGACAGGGTCTCACTCTGTCATCCACAGTGGAGTGCAATAGTGCAATCATAGTTCACTGCAGCCTCAAACTCCCGGGCCCAAGCGATCCTCCTGCCTCGGCCTTCCAAGTAGCTGGGACTACAGGTTCACACTACCATACCTGGCTAATTTCGTTGTTTCTACTTTTGTAGAGACAAGTATCATTGTGTTGCTAAGGCTGGTCTTGAACTCCTGGCCTCAAGCAATCCTCCCACCTTAGCATTCCAAAGTGCTGGGATTATGGGCTTAAGCCACCATACCAGCCCTAGTCATTTTCTCCAAGATTATGTGTGGACACTATTTTTAGGGGGAGACAAGATACAGGGCAATGCTTAGTTAGATACTTTCTGCAGCTTCTCTCTCTGCCTCAGTATTCATGCCCTATTCTATCTTAGTCCTGCATTCAGCACTTCCTACTGAGTCTGGGGCCCTATACTTCTGAGAAAGCATGTTTATCTTTATTGCTGAGCTTAACCCCTTTTCTTTCCTTGATGCACCAGCGTGGATTTCCGTGACAGTTCTCTTGCCCTCTGGCTGTAATGGCTTCAGATGCTTTTGGCAGCACTTAAAAATGTGGAATTCTGAGGTTTTCTCAGCCTTTTAGTTTTACTGAAAATGTAGTTGAGGCTTTTCTTTCATCTTGTTAGCCTTTGTGGTTTCCAAAAGGAGAAAAATGTTAGAATTCACAATAAAGCTGCTAAAATTTGCTACCATATTCCTACTACAAGTCCTAAGTCCACCTTTTTTTTTTCTTTTTCTTTTTCTGAGAAAGAGTTTCTCTCTGTTCCCCAGGCTGGAATGCAGTGGCACGATAATGGCTCACTGCAGCTTCAACCTCCTGGGCTCTAGCAATTCTGCCACTTCGAGCTCCCAAGTAGCTGCGAATATCAGTAAATGTCACCATGCCTAGCTAATTTTTTATAATTTTTTTTAGACATGGGGTCTCACCATGTTGCCCAGGCTCCAACTTCTTTTTAAGTAGCTTTTTCTTATGTGATATTTTTAAAAGCTCACATGGTATTCCAATTGCATTAAATGATCTAGGAAACTATTGTCCAATGCTGATTTGAATTATTTATTTCAGGTATTATTTGTGGTGACATTTAAGCTCATTTTTCAACCAGAATACTTTAGGGCCAATTTCTCTTTCCACCTAGTGTATACTCAGAGAAAGCAAGCTAATTTTAATTTTAATTAGCCTAAGCAAATAAAATTAGGTAATTAGGTGTCCTGCAAAGGGTTATACAAATATAACTCAAGGCAAAAATAAATTCTTTGGAACACATATCATAATTTCCTGAGAATTAAAAATAAACACAATCTCTTTGGACTGCAGAGAAGACTTAAAGAAAATAAAAATAAAATAAAAACAAACACAAACTTTATAAAAATGTCTACTACTAACCTTGTTGTCCATCTGGCATGGTCACAATGATGGGTTGACCAATTCCACTGGTTGGAATAGAGTGCAAATTTCCAAGCTGAATTCCATCTGTAACTATTGTGATGACTTGCTGACCCCCTGAACTAACTACTTGCTGAATGGCACCATCCACAGATTCTGCAGTAACTACTTCCTCCGTGGCCACTACTGGAAAAAAAAAAAATGAAAACTCAGCAAACATATGTAACAGTATGAATAGAAACCTATTATTGCTTTGTCTGCTATTTTTGCTTTCTCTGCTTCTTTCTTTTCTTTTTTTAAAGAGAGACAGGGTCTCACTCTGATGCCCAGGCTGGAGCGTAGTGGTGCAATCATGGCTCATGGCATCCTTAACTCCTGCACTCAAGTGATCCTCTTGACAGCCTCCCAAGTAGATGAGACTGCAGGTACGTACCACCATCCCTGACTAGTTTTATTTTTGTAGGGATGAGGTGTTGCTATGTTGGCCAGGCTGGTCTCAAACTCATGGCCTCAAGCAAGCCTCCTGCCTTGACCTCCCAAAGTGCTGAGAATTACAAACATGAGCCACCACACCTGGTCCCCTGCTTCTTTCTTACCCAGGAAAATTTGTACATGGTTTTAAAACTCAGTCTCCAGTGGTGTTGGAAATATCCATGCAACCAGTTGATTACAAGTCTCTCGTAATTTACAATACATAAGTTTCAACTATCTTCACATGTGAGTGGTTAAACAATTTCTCTTCATTTGGTTGTATGAGGTATAAAATTTAGAAGATCTAATATCATGACGAAGGTTGTATCTGTTTCATAAAACCTCACAATTCAGTCGGGTGCTGGTGGCTCAGGCCTGTAATCCCAGCACTTTGAGAGGCCGAGGCGGGAGGATCACTTGAGGTCAGGAGTTTGAGACTAGCCTGGCCAACATGGCAAAATCCCGTCTCTACTAAAAATACAAAACTAGCAGGGACTGGTGGTGAATGCCTATAATCCCAGCTACTCAGGAGGTTGAGGCAGGAGAATTGTCTGAACCCGGGAGGCAGAGGTTGCAGTGAGAAAAGATCATGCCACTGCCCTCTAGAATAGGCAACAGAACAAGACCCTGTCTCAAAACAAAACAAAACAAAATCCACAATTCATAAGATGAATTTGAATATGATTATACTCCATTTACATTTATATATGAGTTGACATACAGAATAAAGAGTATTCTCTTTTTGGATTAAGTGAGCAAGGATTTGCCTTGATAATAAGTGGTATACAGATGTGGTACTATGTGATAGTAAATAGTATAATATATTAACATTTCCACAAATAAAATCCCCAAATACACTCTTAATAATTTATGAGAGCCTTAGAGAGGATTCTGGCAGCAAAAGCAGCACCTGTGTCCTTGTCTGGGTAGAGAAATTGCAAGTTAATACCGCCAAAATCCTTTCTCACAGGCAATCCTACACCCACTACTGAACCCAAAAGACATGTAGAAGAACATACATGGTAGCTTTATTCATACTAGTAAAAAACTACAAACAACCCAGATATTCTTTGATAATAAATAAACAATGGTAGACTCAAACACAGCAATTTGACTGTATGCAAAACATGGGTGAAACTGACAAAAAAACAAAACTAAGTGATGTAAACCAGACACAAAAGAATATGTACTGTCTACCTTCCATTTATGAACTGAGCAATGTTTATACAATGTTTACAATTATCCTCTGTGAGCCCTTTGTGATAATTCCTCAAACTGCACACTTATAATCTATAAGCATTTCTGTATATTAAACTGCACTTCAATAAAAAAGCATCAAAAGGAATGATAGTAATGGATTACTATCCATTGAATTTTTTTTTTTTTTGAGACAGAGTCTCACTCTGTCACTAGGCTAGAGTGCAGTGGCGCGATCTTGGCTTACTGCAACCCTCGCCTCCCAGGTTCAAGCAATTCTTCTGCCTCAGCCTCCCGAGTAACTGGAACTACAGGTGCATGCTGCCACACCCAGTTAATTTTTTTTTTTTTTTGTATTTTTAGTAGAGACGGGGTTTCACCACATTGGCAAGGCTGGTCTCGAACTCCTGACCTCGTGATCCGCCTGCCTTGGCCTCCCAAAGTGCTAGGATTACAGGTGTGAGCCACCACACCCAGCCTGAATTTTAAAAAATCTTTCTATCTGATTCATGCCTATAATACCAGCACTCCAGGAGGCTGAGGCAGTATGATCACTTGAGCCCAGGAGTTCAAGACCAGCCTGAGTAACAGTGAAATCCTGTCTACAAAAAATTTAAAAATTAGCCAGGTTTGTTGGTTTACACCTGTAGTCACAGCTATTTGGGAGGCTGGGGTGGGAGGATCCCTTGAGCCTGGGAGGTTGAGTTTGCAGTAAGCAGTGATCACAACACTGCACTCCAGCCTGGGTGACAGAGTGAGACTCTATCTCAAAAAAAAAAAAAAAAAATCTATCATAATACCTCATAAAAAGGAGAGAAAGGAGGAAATGGGAAAGATCCTCCTGATAGAAAGACATCTAATTAACATTGAAAAAAGACAAGTTAAGATAAATCATTGTAACTCCTAACGTAATAATTGCTTCAAGCGAGGATCAGTAGTGGGTGCTAAAAGCACTGGTAAAATCTTGTGGGGAAACAGGATATTCAAATGTTCTCAAAGTATCCCACCAAAGATTACTATTAGTTGCAAAGGGGAAAATCTACCTGAAAAGAGCCGGCAGTCACAATTCCACCAAGTGGTTCTTATCAGGATGGGCTGATATTATGTGCCTCCTTACGTGATGCACTGGGAGGTTACAAAATTCACTGGTGTTCCTCCTGGAAATGTCTGAACTAAATCTGACTATAAATGACATTTGGAGGACAACTTGAAAATGGACCATATATCAGATAATTTTTGTGATTAATGTTGATGTTTTTAGAAAATAAAATGGAGCCGTGGATACGTAGAAGGCTATTCTTACTCCTGAGATATACATGCCAAAGTAAAGGTGAAGTATATCATGATGTCTCCAGCCTCCTTTCATATAACTTGGCAAAATAAAGGTGTGTGCGTGTGTGTGTGTGTGTGTGTGTACAAGCACACATGTGTCAGAGAACATATGGGCATGCCAAGATGTTAATAGGTGGTGAATACAGGTCAAAGTTATACAGGTTCATCCTCCAATTTTTCTGTGGGTTTGAAAACTGTCTACATATAAAAAAATTAATTATAACTAGTTCAAAAAGAGGAATGACATTAAAAATTATTTCTAAATGGCATGGTTTTTAATGTGTTATTTACACATTACAAAAGTGTAATTACAAAAAGGGTAATTTTACAAAAAGTGTAATTAAATAAAACCACTCTACTAAAATCGAGCTACCATCCAGATACACAGTTGCTCTGAAACATGCTGAGTTTCTATCAACTCACAGTAGGGCATCATGGATATCAGTGATCACAGGATTTACTAAGACAGAGAGGCCATAAATATAGGAACTGCTTTTTTTTTTTAAGGCAGGAAAAATACTAGGAAACTGGTTTTCACGATGTACTCAACAGGCCTGGCTTCGACTGTTACTGTGTTACTTAGTAATCAAGGATCACAATACAAACCACAGAACACTCAAAATGCAAACAATCTTTATGTTTTGAGCTCTCTTGTAATTTTTGTTTACCTTAAACTATGATTAGGTTTTATCACCAAGCACTTAAGAAAATTTCAGGAAGATAATTACAAAATGAAAAGTAGGACATAAAATAGTAATATAGTCAACAGAACTACTACTAGGATTTTCAAACACATTAAGTATTGCTTTGATTTTTTCAAAAAACTATCCATATGAAAAAGAAATGTTCACTTGAGTTGAATACTAACTACAGTTAGTAAATATTTTAAAGCTTAATCATATGTAAGAAATTTCTAAGATCACACACAAGGCACAATTCAAGAACTTTCATCTTTGCACTATTTGCAATGACTATTATTAAAATAAAAGAGTTCTTGCCTTTCATCTAACAAGCTTTCTTTTTAAGTTGTGCTATGGTAAGATATTTAAGAAAAAATTAAAAGGAAACCAATTATGTAAGACAAAGTGCCCCCCAGAAGCTTTAAGAACAATCTAACAGTAAAATGTTGAAACATGTAAGAATAAAAGAGAAAGTCTAAAAACTCTTAAAAGATTATTGATTTTTAAAAATATATTTATATTCCAAAACATAAAGCTCCCTGGATAAAAAAAACTATAACATAAATATTCACTGATCTAATTCAAAAGTCAAGTTGTAATATTTAAAGAAAACCTAGATAATCTGCAGCACCTTTGAAGACATCTGAGATCTCTTGTTCAACAAGAATTATGAATTTGGATGCCATAAAAATGAAATAAGACAGGGAAGAACACTGTCTTTGAAATGCCCTAAAAGACTGAAAATTCTACATAGAAACATTTAAATAATAAAATAGAAACTATGGGCCGGGCGCAGTGGCTCATGCCTGTAATCTCAGCACTTTGGGAGGCCAAGGCGGGTGGATCATGAGGTCAAGAGATCGAGACCATCCTGGCCAAGATGGTGAAACCCCGTCTCTACTAAAAATACAAAAATTAGCTGGGCGTGATGGCGCACGCCTGTAAACCCAGCTACTGGGAAAGCTGAGGCAGGAGAATGGTGCAAACCTAGGAGGAGGCGGAGCTTGCAGTGAGCCAAGATCACGCCACTGCACTCCAGCCTGGGCGACAGAGCGAGACTCCGTCTCAAAAATAAATAAAATAAAATAAAATAAAATAAAATAAAGCAAAATAAAAATAAAATAAATAAAGTAGAAACTATGTTCATTGAAGAAAAAAAAAAAACTTTTCAAAGGTATTATGGCAGCAGTTTAACCTGAAATTAAAAACAAAAAAGCAAAAACAAAACAACCTCATGAGGCCCAGTATGTATCCCTTAAAGCCAACTGAGTTGTATTACCCTATTTTTTATACAGACCAAAAAACAATCTGCAAAACAGATCTGGTTCAAATTTCACTTTTAGGAAGAATGGACGGAACTTTTTATTTTTATTGTTTTTCTTTTTTGAACCCCTATTTTGACACATAAGAAAGGAGGGAAATTTTAAAGGCACCAGATGCATTACACCTTTGGAAAAACCACTTTATTAGTAATTACCAGAAGTTGCTCTAAAGACAAAAAAGAAGGGTAATCACAGATGTGTATTTAATCAAGGTATTGTATAATTAGACCACAAGGAAGAATAAAGCTAAGCAAAGAAAAGTTGCTATAGGACTACAGGCTAGAGCTACGAAATAAGAGATGTATGAAAAAATATTTTTAAAGAGCCAGATAACTACTCTACAGATGTAAGGCCTCCATCTTAACCAATCACAGCTTCTAATTCTACATCCCAAATAACCCTCTAATCTATTCACTCACTGTCTCTGTCAAATCTTCATTCACGCTATCACTATGATAACTCTTCCCTGGTTGACTGCATTAGACTCCAAACAAAACTCCCTTCCAAAGCATTCTTCTAAACCTGCCAAAGGATCATTTTTAAAGTCCTATATAATCTCACCTTCAGTCACCTTGAGTGACTCTTCCACTTACTGGGTTTAGCTGCACTGGCCTCCGGGTCCCCTAAAAAGTCAAGTTCTTTCCTGTCTCAAAAGCTTCACATGTCCCTCTTGCTAAAATGTTCTTCCCTAAACTTTTCCCTGACTAATGCCTACTTTAATTTTCAGTTTAAATGTTTCTTCCTCTAGGAAGATTCCATGATCCACTAGAGTGGCCTGTAAACCTTAGTAGAAAGACAGGAAAATGTGATTGCTTCTGTATACTAATAAATAATGTACAACATGGTGGTGGTTTTCCTCATAAGAAAATATATATCCACAATTCCCCCCCAAAAAAAAGCTTTCACTTTTCTGTCTATTCATTTTGGAATGACTTTCAAAATGAAAATCACACAAAATGGTATGAGTTAGAATTAGTTCCAATCTATCTAAATCTTACCCATTCTTTAGAGCACAACTCAACACATTCCCCTCCACCACACCCACTCCCAACTCCAGCTAAAAGTAATCTCTTTCCACTGAACAACAATAGTAATTCAATGAGCTATTTTAATCATCCAGCACTGACAACCTGCTGTTATATTTGCTAGAACGTCAAGAAAAGACAGAGGTATCTTTGGTTTCTCAATGAAAATATTATAATAGACATTCTAAGGTTCTCATGGGACTACCATTAATATGTGTGGTATATGTCAAAAATGGTACTAACGTCATTTCCATTTTCTAAAGGAAAGTTAATTCCACTGACTTCCAAACGGAAATCATTTCCATTTTGCAAGTCATTCCAAAATCAAGAGACATGAAGGTGCTATCTAAAGCCATAATTCCTGAGTGAAATGGCATGGTACCCTGGACTACCACAATTGCCTTCTCTTTATATATAGGACCATGCCAACCAGCTAGTTTCCATTTAAAATACAGTCCATCTGCTGCTACATTCTGGCTGTTTTCTACCCAGGAAAAATGTTTATTGTACCACTTAGCTAGTAAAAGAATATGAGCAGTAACAGTATACTGATGGAGCTTACACTATATTTTGGCCAACATCATTTTAAAAGGACAAGAAAGTAGCAGAACACTTATTTCAACAGACTACCTATTACTAGAAAAAGCTATAGAAACAGATACATCCCAAAAGTAATAGTGACGCTTTTGCTTGAAATAAGGTAAAATGAAAATTACACAAATAATTCAATATTGTGTAATTCAAATATCACAAACCAAATTATAAACATTCTAAAAGAGCCCACAGACCATGTGAATAAGCTGCATAAGACAGATGGTACATGATAGTGGTCACAGACACATACCTTGGGAATCAGTCAGACTTTGAGCATAATCCTCCTTTCTCTACTTAATAGCCACATGCCCTTTGATAAAATTATTCAACTTCCACAAACCAGTTTCATTATATATAAAATGGAGGTACCACTACTGTATTTTCCAGATTCTAACAAGCCCTTGAAAAGATATATATAAACATTTCGAGAATCAGGATGAGTCTGACAATTGATTTTAAAGAAACTGGATAGCCAGAAGTCAGAGAAATAATTTGTGGCAGATTTAGCTTTGCCTGAGTATGTGCAAATTGAGCTTTGAGTTGTTTACTCTGGTGATAACATACTTAAACTTTTATTTATTTTTTATTTATTTATTTATTTTTTTTTTTTTGAGACAGAGTCTCCCTGTGTTAGCCAGGTTGGAGCACAGTGGTACAATCTTGGCTCACTGCAATCTCCACCTCCAAGGTTCAAGCGATTCTCCTGTCTCAGCCTCCTGAGTAGCTGGGATTACAGGCATATGCCACCACATTCGGCTAATTTTTGTATTTTTAGTAGAGA